AAAAAAAAAAAAAAAAAAAATGATTTGTACGTTTTGGGAGGCAGTTCTGGGGTCTGTGTGCAGATGCAACTTACAAACAAAAGCATGCCTCTGCTCTCTTTAGTCGCTCCATACCACCCGGCACAGCCGAGCAGTATCGTGGCGCATCCCATCACCAGGCACAGAAAGCCCACGTGAAGCAGGTATGCGGTGGACACCCCAAGGACACTCGTCAGGGAGGTCCCTCCACATTTACCACCAATGCCCAGGCCGACGAGGATGATGCCAGACACCTGTAGAACAGAATCAGAAGAGTGATCTGTTAGCTGGAAACAAATAGAACTGGGTGAGTGCAGTGGCTCATGCCTGTAATCCCAGCACTTTGGGGGGTCAAGGCGAGAGTATCACTTGAGCCCAGGAGTTCAAGAGCAGCTTGGTGAGACCTCATCTGTCCCCTATAACCCCCACAAAAAAGTAGTCGGGCTTGGTGGTTTGTGCCTATAGTCTCAGCTACTCAGACGTCTGCAGGGGGAAGATCACTTGAACCCATGAGGTTGAGGCCACAGTGAGCTATGACTGTGCCGCTGTATTCCAGCCTGGATGACATGGCAAGACCCCATCTCAAATAATAAGATAGGCCGGCCACAGTGGCTTACGCCTGTAATCCCAAGACTTTGGGAGGCCAAAGTGGGCAGATCACCTGAGGTCAGGAGTTCAAGACCAGCCTGGCCAACAAGGTAAAACCTCGTCTCTACTAAAAACACAAAAATCAGCCAGGCATGGTGGTGTGCACCTGTAATCCCAGCTGCTCAGGAGGCTGAGGCAGGAGAATCGATTAAACCTGGGAGGCAGAGGTTGCAGGGAGCTAAGATCACGCCAGCCTGGACAACAGAGCAAGAGTCTGTCTAAAAATAAATATAAAATACAATGATGTCATAGGACAGGGCTTAGCAAATTTCTTTTTTCTGAAAAACCTAGATATCGTGGCCCCCGCAGGCCTTAAGGTATCTGTTGAAACTATGCAGTTCTGTTGGTGTAGCTCAAAAGCAGCTGTTCATAATCCACAAGAAAGTGGGCATGGCCACTTGTACGTAACATTTTATTATTATTTTTTTAAATAGGGTTGGGGGTCTCGCTCTATTGCCATGCTGGTCTCGAACTCAAGGCTCAAGGAATCCGCCTGCCTCAGCCTTTCAAAGTGCTGGGATTACAGGTGTGAGCCGCTGCACCCGGCCTTAATTCTTTTTAAAATATTGCAAGTGAAGAGACAAGTAATGATACTCCGTTTCCTTCTCTTTCCTGGCAGCTTTTCCTTAGACTATGCTACAATGAAGACAATTACTTCTTCTTCTTTTTTTTTTTTTAAGTGAGACAGAATGAGACTGTCATCCAGGCTAGAGTGCAATGGCACGATCTCAGCTTACTGCCAACTTTTGCTGCCCGGGTTCAAGCAATTCTCATGCCTCAGCCTCCCAAGTAGCTGGGATTACAGGCACCCATCACCACATCCAGCCAATTTTTTTTGGTATTTTTAGTAGAGACGGGGTTTCACCATCTTGGCCAGGCTGGTCTTGAACTCCTGACTTCATGATCCCACCAGCCTCAGCCTCCCACAGTGCTTGGATTATAGGCGTGAGCCACCGTGCCTGGTCTGACAATTCTTTAGCAATGTACATTTCGGATTACTTTTATGGTAAGGAATAAAAATATCTTGACACATTTAAAAGTTCAAGAAAGTATCCCTTCCTTCTGACCTTCCCGAACAACTTTACCTGCTTCAGGATTTGACTTAGAGCCAAGCTCTTCCATCCCCCACCCGGACTCCCCCAGATCACGCTCGTTTGCGCTGGATTTCACCGGTTCTGGGTTGACGGGAGGTCCCAGCGCTTCCTGCTCCTCCTCCTCCGTCTGCCCTACATCCCTCCTGCTTCTCTAGGGAACCACAGATCTCGATGCCAATTTGGATCAACTTATTTCTGTCTTTCGGGGAGCCGACCGTGGAGGAAGGGCTGCAATATACCAGGGGCCTGGATTGTGACATACTTACAGCCACGAAGCCATTGAGTAAAGATATCAGTTTCTTCAAGGAAGAGTAGGGAGTGTGGATTTCGGCCATGCTGGACATTTAACTTAGCATCTTCCTGAACCTCGGGGCTACTGTTTCCCAAGTTGATAGGGAGCTGAGATGGGGCACCAATGCTGACTGGCTCTGCCCCTCTCTGTCCTGGCTGCCTGTGGTTGTCCCAGACTGCCCAGCGGCTGCCCCTGCCCTAGTTGCAAGCCCTTTGTCACATCACAATTGGGTAGTGGAGCAAGGCCCAGGGTCCAGGGAACCAGGTGCCCCAAACTGCCCCCTGTTGGCTCCTCATCCTTCAAACAGGCCACACCAGGGAAAGAGAAAAGGCACGGGATGCTGCCCTGGTACCCTCCAGATGCCACTGGGATCCCGTGGGCATAGTGCCCAGCTCTGACCACTTGCACAGTTGACATTTCCTAGTAGACTGGAGGATCCAAGGGGGAACTTGGCTGTCCTATTAACAACTGTGCCCCTGCTGGGCGCAGTGGCTCACACCTGTAATCCCAGCACTTTGGGAGGCCAAGGTGGGCAAATCACCTGAGGTCAGGAGTTCGAGACCAGCCTGGCCAACATGTTGAAAACCCATCTCTACTAAAAATACAAAATTAGCCAGGCATTGTGGTATGCGCCTATAATCCCTCAGGAGACTGAGGCAGGAGAATCGCTTGAACACAGGAGGTGGAGG